CTGAAGATATCTGAGGGTAACATATGTTTTTTATCCAAGTAGCACAAGCTACTACTTATTTGGAGAGACTTATTAAATCCAAATAGGTACAATAAAGTCATGTTTGATGTGTTTAAAAATATATATATATATATAATCTATAGTTCATTTTCATTAAACATTTAGAATCCATCATTCATGTAAAACAGTCTCTGTAAGATGGGGAAAAACCCTTAACAGAGCGGAATCATAGATGCTCAGATTTGGGAGAAGCTGTAGTTGTCTTAGAGGCTGTATGGTACAGTGACAAAGAGCACAGGTCTGGGGCAGATGTCTGGGTAGCTGGCAGCTGTACTATTTACCAAGCTTCAGACCAGACCTCCAATAATGGGGATTAAATAGTATGTGCATCCTGGGTGGTTGTAGAGATTGAATGAGCATGTAGCTGGCATTCAGTAAATTTAACAATTATTATTACTACTATTAATATTATCAGCTAACTTTACACCAAAAATAATAGTTTCCCTTTCTTTGCCCCCCCCCCCCCCCCCCCCCNTGAGAGTGTTAAGGGAAACACTTGGGTGGTCACAAAATAGTGTCATCCTTAGAATTGATGTGCACAAATAATGTGTTGTCATATAAGTAATCACAAGGTTGCCAAATCATGACTTATAGAGCCAAAATATTACCTTGAATGAGAGGCAAGCCTGAGTGAGGCGTATTGGGAGGATTTACAATATCTAGTAATTAGTTTTCCATGTGGAAGCCTTAATTCAATTAATAAATTTTTCTCTGCTTCCCAGGGAAGAATTCTTCCTCTCTCTCTCTTTCTGACTAGGGTTCTAGGTGGTGTTACCTTGATTCTCAGCAATTCAGCAAACACATTTTGAGCACCTAGCAAGAGCTGTAAACAGATGTGGGGAAGGGACAAAGGATTGTAAGCTATGATCTTGTTCCTAAGCAAATTATTATCTAGTTAGGAAGAAAAGACTTAGATGTGGTATAATTTAAGAGCAACAGCATGGTATTCAT